GCTCCCCCCGGGGGCAAGCACCGTGCGGGCTCCCGTATCTCAAGGGGAACGGACCCCCTCTGGTTGCAGGTGCCTTCTGCATTCCCTTGTACGTGCCCTATGTGCTGACGGGGAGATGGATCTTCGGGAGAAGCCTCTGCAAACTCTGGCTGGTAGTTGATTACCTGCTCTGCACCTCTTCTGTCTTCAACATCGTATTGATTAGCTATGACAGATTCCTCTCGGTGACAAGAGCGGTGAGTCCTGTCATGGCAGCTGAGAGGGGAATAACTCTCCTCCTGCTTTATTCTCCAGATTCTCTGCAATAATTAAAAGCTCTTTGAATCCTCCAGAAATTATGAATCTTTCAGCTTGGTGATGGAAAGCAATAATTATCCACAAATACATAATTCAGCTGTGGTTTCAGATTAGTATTTCTGGCATAATTAAATCATTTAATGTTCAGACCCCATTGTGCAGGTGTTCCCTTCCCAGACAGGATAGTAGTGTACAAGTGAGTCAGCAAGGTAAAGCAGACCTATTACTAACTTGCAGGGGCTTATTATCTCCAGGACAAACAAGGGGATTGCAGTCAGACTCCCAGCTTCTCCCTGGCTACCAAGGCAGTAGATTGCAGTACCAACTTTGGCAGGGCAGAGGATAGCCCTGAGGTCTCACACGGTGAGATGAAAACGCTCAGCCTTTTGCAGGAGGTAACGAGCGATTCACAGGCAGATCAGATCAGATCCATCGCTGTTTGCTTGTTCCCTGACTCTAAATACAACATGGATTAGCTACAAGGCTCAGGGAGAGCCACAGCGAGGTGCCTGCCTAGCCCAGGAGTTTGCTGCGTGCTGCTCCCCGGGAATTACAGGGGACAATTCAGGCAAGTGGTGGGGTGCAGCAGACTGCCGGGCTCCAACCAAGTCAGTACATTTCCACTAAGCAGAAGCCACATCTGGTTTTGGAGCTCCAAGCTGAGGGTACTAAGTCTTCCCTGCAGGAGTGTGATTTATCTAGCGATTGCTCCTGTTGCCTATGGCATATGAATTTGTTAGGCTGCTGGGATATTGCCTAGCAACTTTACCAGGAACACTAACAGTTCATTTGTGAAGAGCCTCAACCGGTTGGGTTGTGTGACCATACTTAAGGAAAGGTTTACCCATTGCAGGTCGCCTACAGAGCCCAGCAAGGCAACACCAAGCGAGCAGTGCTGAAGATGGTGATGGTATGGGTATTAGCGTTCCTGCTTTATGGACCTGCCATTATCAGCTGGGAGTATATCTCAGGCCAGAGTATCATACCCACTGGGGAATGCTATGCTGAATTTTTCTACAACTGGTATTTTCTCATGACAGCCTCTACACTGGAGTTTTTCACCCCTTTCATCAGTGTAATGTTTTTCAACCTGAGCATTTACCTGAACATACAGAAGCGTACCAAAATACGCCTGGATGTTTTCCATGAAGCGCACAACCAGTCCTTCACTGAAGAGATGGAAATGAGCCCAGAAGCAAAGCTTTCTTTGAAATGCTGTAAGTGGGAGCAGAAGGAGCCAGCTGAAACCCTCGACCTCTCTGAGAGCAAAGCTGAAGCAGCAGCCTCCACTGCCAGCCTGGGTGCCAAAGACCTGCTGTCAACAAGCTCGAAGAGCTCCGGGAAACCCAAGTGTTGCGACAAAAAGAGATGCAAAAATTCAGCATCCACTCCGTCCCTAGAGAAACGGATGAAGATAGTGTCCCAGAGCATGACTCAACGCTTCAGGCTCTCTAGGGACAAGAAAGTGGCTAAATCACTGGCAATCATCGTGGGCATTTTTGGGATTTGCTGGGCACCATATACTCTCCTGATGATCATCCGCGCTGGCTGCCATGGCCACTGCATCTCTGACTACTGGTACGAGACTTCCTTTTGGCTGCTGTGGATCAACTCGGCCATCAACCCCGTCCTCTACCCTCTCTGCCACTACAGCTTCAGAAGAGCTTTTATTAAACTCCTCTGTCCCAAGAAGCTAAAGATTCAACCTCACGATCCCCTTCAGAACTGCTGGAAGTGAAGCCAGCCCTGCGTGCGGATGAGAAGAGCCTTCATTTAATATACTTGTGTTATGGAAAATTACTGTAGCTGTTGCTTCCTTAGAAGAGCCTGGGAGCACTGGTCTGGGGCACGCAAGGACGACAGCGAGGCCACTATTCGTTTATCCTAGTACGTCACAACAAAATCGCTCAGAATAGAAGGGTAAGGGGTTTTTTTGACATTAACCACAGGCAGTGAAATCTGTGCCCTCTGCTTGCAGGTGCCACAAAAGAGCTCTGCTGCCACCTAGTCAGCCAGAGCGGCACCAGCATTTGGTTAAAATAAGGAAAAATAAAAACTGAAAAATAAAAGCTAACAAAATTAAATATCTAACCTAAAACCACTGGGCTAAACTACAGTTTACCTGCTTGCAAAGGTGATTTTTTCCTGTGAATGGGAGAGTTTTTTCCTTATCCTTAAGATATTACACATGTGATGATACAGAAAGAAAAGAACAAACCAGAAGGAAAACACCTCATTTATCATTACTGCTCCAGTAGCTACAGCTGTAGTCTAGATGCCCGTTGCATGTGGTGCAACAGATGTCCCTTCCACTCCCCAAGAAGGGACAAATCTCTGCCCTAAGGAGTTTACAGCCAGACTCGGAGGCGCCGAGCATCCTGAAGCTCCCTGTTGGCATTCCCAGATCCCTGCTTCAAAACTGATCCGGATTCCTTTGTGTCCAGCCACGCACCGACCAATGCTCCCACAGCACACGGGAGCGCTTCCCTCCTGCCCGGAGCTGTGCAGCAGGAGCGAGCCCAGTCCCTGGCCCTGCAGGACACAGGAACCCTGGCAGACCCGAAGGAGAGGGATGCTGGACCCGAAGGAGAGGGATGCTGTGCCTATGTGAAAGGTACCAGCACGGTGTCAGCTTCTCCACAGGCTCCCTCATGATGACCCAAAGACATTGTAAAATCTCTTCTGCAGCATCTTAAAAATACTCTTTTGGCGATGTGTTAGAGAAGAACAAGCCCTGGGAGAAGTGAGCTTGCATTCCTTTTTTTAAGTTAGTTTCAGACCTCTTAATTTTAGCAAGTTCCAGAACTCTTGCATGCTTCCTTTTAAAGTACATCATTTGAATTCAGACCCAGGTTGAACTGATCCAGGCAACAGAAGCATCAATTTATGTATTTATTTATTTATTTACTAAGCAGTCAACTAATTCCACAGGTAGAGCACCACATTAAAGAGACTAGGGCTCTATCCTCAATCTTAACATGAGATCTTGGGCATTTTGTCTCTGCTTCCCATCTCGTGCTTCATCATACTTGCCCATTTAGTCTGTACCCTCTTTGGGAACAGAGGTAGCATGACCATAAAGAAAAATACTTTAACTGCCCATCTCTGTTGGCACTGCTCAGTGATACAGTAATACAAATATGTAATTAGTTGTCATGGCAAACACTCATATTTAACAATGTTGTACAGGGAAGCTCAAGATTGTAAGTCTGAAAACTACATTTACAAATAGAAACCCAAATGCTGTAAAGTAGTGCCCAAAAGCTTATGATGTTGTGATTGCCAATTACACTTCATTGTTGTAGGCAAACTGCTTTTTGACTGCTGCTAGGAATAAAAGAAAATCCTATCCAACTTTATTCCAGTGACATTTGTTGAGTAGATCAGTATTGTCATCTGAAGTCAGGTTTTAAATGATGTATTGTTTTGTGTATACAATATTTCAGTCTTGTGACGTGTTCAGTCAGACCATTATATATGGGTTAAAATATGTCCTTTGAAGTAAGCGTCCTCAGAATTGACAGTATGTACTGTTGAGCCTGCTTGTACCTTTCCTTGTGTCTGCTACCCTCTGAAAACTCCAATAAAGTATTTTTATATGAAGCTCGCCAAACATTTTGTACTAAATAGGATGGTGCTGGAAATTATAAAATCCAAATGAAAACAAAACATCTCTGGACTTGTCTGAGGAGACAGTTAAAGCCTATATATTTTGCAAAAAAAAAAAAAGCTCCTGAGACAGCTGGATTTCTCTTACCTCAATAACAGGTTCCTGACAGCACACTAAGGGCGCAGAGGGTGCACATCACTTAATTCTTTCCAACTCTGCTTCTTTTCCAGAGCGTGTTACATGCAACTTAGATCTGAAAAGGTTACATTAACACTAACTCTTCCTGTGACTTAACGAAATCCACTGGCTTGCCTAAAAAAGACAAAGTCCTAATGTGAACAAGGTACCAGTTTCCGGCTGTGGTTCTCTCCATTTGTTCATAGAGAGAGGTGGGACTGCCGGATCGTTCAGTCTGATGAAAAGAAAAGCCACCGGCTGTGTTACACTTGAAGAAGAGGGTGGAAAAAATGTTGTGTGTCTGTTTGGGGTTTTTTTAGCCTGGTATTAAATAGTGATTATCTATCTACCTCATGTTCCTTCCAGGAAAAGGATTTTGTTTTCTTCTTTTGAAGACTGTCTTGCATGATCTGCACTGGATCAGTGGAAGGTCTTTGAAATGCAGTAGAGGCCAAGTAACTGTTACAACAATACTAAGTTGGTTGCAAAAGGGAAATAGGCCCCATTTCACGGGACCTTCCAGGACGATGTTGTCAGCTTCTGAAGCCGTGCCTGCACCGCTTGCTCCCGTACCGCTTCTTTGGCCCCTACGTGGCACAAAAGTCTGTCTCTTGTGCCGGTAGAACACACACCCCTCCGATGCCCCGATTTCTGTTCGTCAGTCCTCAGCATGCTGGCAAATCAATGTTGATTGCGTGCCATCTACAGCCACCAAAATGAGTACGATGCTACAGGTAACTACTGAAAAGTCAAAACTGGTACCAGTTTTTTAACAAAACTGAATACAGTTTCAGCATAATGCACCGTGCTGGGTTCCTTCCCTTCTCCCATTTTGGGGGGCTTGTTGTTGGGGGTTTTTTCCACAGAAATACCCCCAAACATAACTGAAAGCCCAGGAATCTTGTTAGCACAGACACTTCTGCCATTTTAAGAGAGAGGAAGCTGAACAGAAAAGATAGAAGTTCATCTAAACAGACTCTCACCGCTTTCTGTGGGTAACAGCTGAACCTCTGACAAACCAGACCTGAGAATACCTTCCATACCGCGGTTTTGTTACTTCTGACTAAACAAATGAGCAAACAAAGAATTTATCAATCTTTCCTACACGAGACATTTGCCTGAGCAGGGACTGGTAATTGGGCTTTCTAGTAGAATAACATAGGAAGATGACCGAGGGGGATGGTTTGTTTTTCTTATTTCCTCCACATTCCAATAGACATCACGAACGTTAAAACATTATTATGCAAAAACACCAGACCTAAGCAGCAGGGAGCATATACTGAGTTATTTTAGCAGGCTTTTTTTCCCCATTTCTATAAATTTCCCCTTCTTAGAGCTTGAATTCGTTGAATCAAATTTAAAAAAATAAATACATTAACACTCCTAGCTCCAGAACTGGTTTTCCTGCACGTGATGAGCTGAGCAAGCAGCCATTTAAAAAGGGAGCTGCAACTGTTTAAATTCTGAACACAACTTTTTTCCAGATAGTCTGACCCTCCAATCTCAAATTCTTAGCTTATGATTAAGTATTTATGTACGGAAGGCAAACAGCAGGTTTTCCCTTACATCCATCGGTAGTAACTTTGTTCAAAAATGATGAGCCCAGCTTTAAATTTCAAGGTGACTTTGCAAGCATATGGGCTAGGAATTCCTTTCTTTCACATGTTCACACAGTCAAAGAGCTAAAGCTGTAAGCAAAATACGCAGTTTTAAGAGACTCATAGAATTCATGATACTCCCAGGGTGCCGGTGGAGATGATTGGTTTTGCTCTCAGTGATCCATAAGCCCATGATGTACCTGCACTGAAGTGCACACGCCATCCGTACAAGCACCATGTTTTCTTAGCGTCCCACTAATGCCATCAATATATTTCTGTATATTTTAAAGTCCTAATGGTACTTTTCTCTGAGCTTTCAGAATGCATTGTTGATCTTAAAGTCCTTTCCCAAAGAGTGGGGAAACAGACACATTTCACCGTAAGCCTTTCACACAGTATTTTTATGGTCTCTGACCTCCATATGGGCAGAATTACCTAAACTTGGCTGAAAGTAATTTTATTCATTGGTGGATTTTGCAGGGAAGATACTTACATTACTTTCTGAAATAAGAGCTCTTGCCTTGCCAAATAAGAAAGAAAAATAACTACTTATGTCTGGATGTGAGGTCACACCTGAGCCTGGGTTTCATACTGAAAACGTTATGAGCTGGTTTGAAGTTTCAGAGGAGCTGATGACCAATGCAAATATGCTTAAAAGAATATTTGAATTCTGGTGATTTTTAGTGTCCACAATATAAAGGTCTATATGCATTTGGAAGAGGCAGGGACTAGGGAGCTACCAGGCATAATCAAATACGAAATCTGAAAATGCATTACCAATAGACAAGGTAGGGCTTCTTGTCAACTAGCCTAGCAAAACACCTATATATATATTTTTGCTACCATACCTGCTAAAAAAATGCCCTGTTCCTATTGTCCAGAGATAAAGAAAAATGTTTTCAAAAACCATAAAAGACAACTTGCTATAATTATGAATATGCATCAAATATTTGTGGAAGCACCTAGGCTTCCACACTGAAAAGAAACCCAGCTATTTCCATAGAGAAGTGTCCAATTTATGCATGGAGTGTTAGTAAACAACCTTCATGCAGCTGTAAATCATACCCAGCAGCTTTTTAAAGAAACAGGCTAAGTGACTTACCGTAAGACCTGTGCAGAGGTAATGCCAGTTCCCTTCTCTGCGTACAAACCTACATGTCGTTAACTCAGGACGTCAAGGCCACCGTAACAAGGTCTGTGGGCCTTTCACAGAGCAGCATCTGCATATCAGTAAACTATCAAAGAACATTTTTCAGCACAGCTACTTTCTTTTTGGCTCTGTAATGCTTCCTCCCTAATCACCAATAATGAGAGATCTCTTTACACAGAGAGAGGAACTTTGCTCCCACCGCC